TAGTGATACTGCCTCGGAAACCCAAGGAGGGGTCGCTATGAGTCAGGTCCGACTAGACGGCACACAACAACACAACAACAAATAGTCTTTTTAGAAAAAGATGGTGATTCTTCACAAACTCTAACAAAATCCAACAGGATTTCTTTCAGCCAGCAAAATGATTCTCCTGAAATAATAAATAAGCTACAACAGTCAAGAATACATTTTTTTAAAAAATGAAGTACTTGTAGCAGTGCCTATTATATATAATGCTTTGTAAGTTCCATATTTTTTTTATATTTCAAAGTATCTTTTATTAGTTTGAAGAACTTTTAGATAATGATCTTAAATCTAGCTATTTCATGAAATGTTTCTTTCTTTCCTTGTATTCTCTAAATATTTAATCAAATAATTACAAAATAAATTTGATTGCTCTTTTCAAGTTGTAATTCCTCTTATTTTCAATTTGTATTTCAGTGTGTAGCTAACTCTTCCAGAACAACACCAAATTCTTCCACAAACCACGCAGATCACAATCAGTCATGTAATTCCATGGATCCCTGGGCTTAAGTCCAACAAAATATTTAACATTGTATTTTATCTTGTATTTTATTTTCATGCAAGCAGAAGTCAAGAAATCAAATGATGTACTGCATTTGGAAAATATACTGAAAGACCTGTTTAAAGTGTTAAAAAGCAAAGATGTCACTTTGATGACTAAGTTGGGCCTGACTCAAGCCCTGGTTTGCCTCATATGCATGTGAAAGCTGGACAATTAAAAAGTAAGACAGAGAAAGTAATGATGCATTCAAATTGTAATGCTGGGGAAGAATACTGAATATACCCTGGGCACCAAGAAGAGTGAACAAATCTGTTTTAGAAAAAATACAACCTGGATGCTGCATAGAAGAAAGGATGGTGACATTTGGACTTCCTTACTATGGACACGTCATCAAAAAAGACCTAGTGCTAGAAAAGGACAGCATGTTTAGTAAAATGAAAGGTCAGAAAAAATGAGGGAAAATCCCCGTGAGATGGATCGATATGATGCCTAAAACAATGGATTCAATGATGATGAAGATGATGCCGAACCAGACAATGTATTGTTCTCTTACATATAAAGTTGCTGTGAGTTGGAGCCAACTGCAGGACAACTAAAAACAAGTACATTGTATTTATCTGATTATTTCTTTTTCTCCACCACTGACCTACACGTTTCTTAAAGCCTGAAACTCTGACTTGTTTACCATTTTCCCCTAATACATTGTGTTTCATAGCATAGATAGATAGTATATTCTGGCTGAACAAGGTTGTAATAAAAATTTAAAAAAAATAGTTGTACAAGACCTTCTTGTTAAAATAGTCTCTTAAGTTTTTAAGTATTTTTTCTGATTAGTTAAGAAATATTATACAGAAGGTATGTTTTTTTATTCCCCTTGCATTTATATATTTCTGCTACCTTAATATACCAACAACCTACTGGACTATGTATAATTTTTAAGCCATGGTCTGTTTCTTCTAAGGCTCTTTAAATGTTACTTCACAGTCTTCTATCATCATTAAAAAAAAAAAATTCTTGCTTTTCTTTTCTTGACTGTTCCCAGAAATAGGAATACTTCTGTTTCCCAGGTGGTCGCATGCACAGGTTCTCATTGCCCTTTCACTTCGTAGTGATTATTAAGATAAAAATATGGAGGTAGCTCACTCAAAGCCCTTAGGTCAATTTCCTATGTCAAAAGATATTTATCTGTTAGACTTAGGGAGGAGATTTTCTTGCATTCAATAATCTACGGAAAATCTCAGAAAATCTGTTTTTGTTAACGTGTAAACTGTTAACCCCACTAATCAAATGCAACACAACTCACTTCAACTTTTACCATCGCTGCCACTACCACCAGATCTATATGCAAGATTCTATACACTCTTGATAGAATGATGTTCTTGGACATTTCTCCCTATAGTCACAGTCCTTTTCAGTCTAGAGTGTTTGTTTTCTCTGGATGGGTGAAAGCAGACAAGAGTTAATAGAGTGTAAGGATGACAAGTCAAAGATGATGCTGGTCACCTTGTTTCCCATACATTCACTCATTTGAAAAAATACTTTTGAACACCTACTATGTGCCAGGCAGTATGCAACGGGGAGGTAGCTTTCTTGTTTTCTGGTGGGTGTAGGTAGCCTATTTCTAGGTATAAGGCAAATAACCGTTTCTTTCTTTCTTTTAAACCTAAATGATGTTTTATTTGGGTACAAGCCAACAGAAACTACTAATTGTGGTTTTCAGTCTAGCTACATCAGTTTAGTAATCAGTGGGAATTCTGACTAGGGTTCATGAAAATGGCTGCCTATTATCTTTCATTTCTATTGTTACTGACTTTTTGAATTTCTGTGTCTCTTCAGAATCATTTAATGAAAAAAATGAGAGGCCTTATCAAGAAGCCTTAGCTTGCCAGCATTTTAACTAAGAAGTGGTCTTTTTTTTTAATATAAAATTGTTTAAGACAAAGTTTCCAAAAGAAAAGAATTGAAGTAAGATTTCACTTTCTAATTAACCCCTCAACAGGGAAGGGAAGCATGGAATTGCTGACAGGAAATTAATTTTTTGTTTTGCATTTTCAATTCTTAACATCATAAAGTTTCTCTAATTGTCTTGTATTAAAAATAAAATCTGTTCTGAACAGAGTTGATTTTTGAGTTCTTGCAGATTTATTTCCTAAGAGTGCAAATTAGTTTGAATGAGTTGTTAGCAAGCAAGCCAATGAACAGTATGTTTCCCAGGACTTAAGCTAGGGAAAAAGGCTAATACAATTTCTGATTAAATGTCTTCCTTAATGTAACATCACAGAGCATATGTTCACCATTGAAGACCTAATAGAAAGAATGATAAACTTTTTAAAAGCTCACAATTTTTTTTATTGAAGGCTCTATGTCCATAGATATAAAATAATCAAAGGCAAAGTGAGCTATTTATAGAAACAAACCTTCTGTTAAATATATAAGAGTAAAGAATATATAAGGAGCCCTGTGGCACAGTGGTTAACTGCTCAGCTGCTAACTGAAAGGTTGGTGGCTCAAACCTACTATGTGCTCCATGGGAGAAAGATGTGGCAGTCTGCTTCTATAA